ACATACGTGTGTGTGTGTGTGTGTGTGTGTGTGTGTGTGTGTACAGAATAAAATCAGAATAAAATATAAATGTCAGTTCTTATGTTACACCCAGAAAAATAGTCTATAATTTTTCATTTCCAAGAAATGTTGCTTTTTCCCACTGATTCACAATGATAGTATTTGCAAACTATTGTCTTTGATGACAGACATGGACCATGGATCTAACTACCACAGTTCCAGCATTTACAGCATACGATCATACAACCTCTCTGGAGCTTTTTTCTTCATTAGTAATTCCTATAATTAATATTAACAATAAGAAAATAAAAGTGCCAGTTCTGAAAACTCACAAAATAGAAAGGCAAGGCAAGCTGCTTATGAAATACCCTTTTATTTGTGTAGGTGTACGTAATCTTTAAACCGTTTATTTGGATTTTTTCTAGTTCTAACTCTTAGGAAACTTAGAGTAATTTCTTCTCTACGAAAAATTTAATTTTGAGTGTCTGTCATGTCAGATCGGTTAAGTGACTCTTTCAACAGAACTCTGAAACTCTTCATAAGCTCTAATTTCTTTTCTTTTCGTTTCTTTTCTTTTCTTTTCTTTTCTTTTCTTTTCTTTTCTTTTCTTTTCTTTTCTTTTCTTTTCTTTTCTGAGACGGAGTTTTGCTCTTGTTACCCAGGGTGGAGTGCAATGGCGCGATCTCGGCTCACCACAACCTCCGCCTCCTGGGTTCAGGCAATTCTCCTGCCTCGGCCTCCTGAGTAGCTGGAATTACAGGCACGCGCCACCGTGCCCAGCTAATTTTTTGTATTTTTAGTAGAGATGGCGTTTCACCATGTTGACCAGGATGGTCTCAACCTCTTGACCTCGTGATCCACCCGCCTCGGCCTCCCAAAGCGCTGGGATTACAGGCTTGAGCCACCGCGCCCGGCCTATAGGCTCTAATTTCTAATTAAAAAAAATACTTTTCCAACATGTTCTTTTGGTTAACAGTCTTGATTATGTTATTTCAGGAAATCAGTCTTAAGAAGATACGTTTTGAAACTATTTCAAAAAATTCTTATAATTTTCTTTCTACTGAAAACATTTATAAAACATGAAACAATTTTTATGTGATAGTGGTTTCCCTTTTGGCTCTTTGGTCTCTAAAATCTACAGATTTGTTTTACATAATGGTCATTAACACATAAAACCTCAATAAGAAAGTTCCATAATCATCTCCACTTTATAGGTGAACAACCAAGGGTAAGTGACTTATCCAAGTCTGCAGATGGTGGAGATGAGATTCAAACCCAAGCAACGCGGCTTTAGAACCTCACTCTGAGCCTTTACGCTGTGTTGTATTGAGTCTTTTCAGGAAAAAGAAGGTGAATGCTTTCAAAAAACTTAAAATTTACAATCCTCACAGTAAATCTCAGATGTCATATGCTTTATGAATCTCCACTTCAGGTAGGGTAAGGAAACTCAATGTTGCAAGTTTATGTGTTTTAGCACTTTTTCTTATTAAATAAAAAAATTATCTTTAGTAATTGGGGTAGACAAAGGCTATCAATAGACTAAAGTTGGACTTTTCCCAAACATTGATTATTAAGCATTTTCTATTTTAGCAAACCAGAAAAAGGAGAGAGTGGCCAATTTTTTTTAACGTATAAAAGACTAATAGATCATTATTTGATGGATGGAAATAAAAAACAATTGATTGCTCATTTGTTTAAAAATATCTTCAGGACCTTAATAAGTGCAAGGCACTGTTCTGGGTATTGAAATAATATGGGCAAAGACTTATTAGCAATTAAAAAGTACATAGCAAATTAATACAGTCAGGAAACGTCAAATTACTTGATTTGTAAAGTATAGGAATATATCTGTCTAAAGGCAAAAAGAAATCTAAAAATTATTGCTGATGTACTGTAATAGACTTAGTAGATAAGTATAGTCAAGAGAATACGTTTTGTGTGTCAAAGGGCATATCTTTTGCTTTTAATGCTCACTTCAAAATAATTTGATTTTAAAAATAATATCACTAGTGTCTTTCTGCTTTTTTTCAAATGCAATTCTAAATTGTTATTCTTTAAGACTGACCTTTAAATAGGTTGCAAGCTATTAAAAAATGAATAGTAAAAACTTAAATCAAGGGCATCATAGCTGAAGAAAAATAAATATAACATCTTCAAAGGTTGCAGACACATGAGGAGTCAGAAAATCCAGTTAAGCATCAATTATATCAGTAATAAATGAAGAAACTCTGTTGCAGTAATACTCAGTTCTACTGGTAGCTCTCTGAGAAGAGCTAGGTATTCGTGATGGTCTATTATAATGAATTATTAATGGACTATTCACAGCCCTGCCACTAAATAATTGATAAAGTTGCTCTAAAAGGGCAAACTACAGCAATTACTCTATAAATGTCTATGTCTGAACTCTCTATTTTAATATTTTTAAAAATACAAAAAGCTTCACATAGTGTAATAGTTGTCCTTTTAGTATCAGATAATTGAGAAAAATATCTCAATGTGGATAAAAGTTACTATGAATTCAGCAATACAGTTAAATAAGTATGTATTTTATTAATAAAAATAAGCATGCATTATTTATAATAGTACATATATAAAAGAGACATAGTATTTACATAGCTACCACTTGGGGCAGTAGTGGGTTAATTACTTCTTTGCAATAGTTATACAACACCCCCATTGGCTGAAGCAAATAATTTGGAACCATAGCTCTCCAGGATTGAGACCAAGCTCAGCAGCTTGTTCCAAAGTCAGATTTTACTTGCAGACAGTCTTGCCGAGTGAAGGCTCCTTCCATCTTCAGTGTGTCTTGTTCCAAATATATCCATGGCCCTGCAGCAACTTGATATACAGTTGGTAAAGAAGTTTGTAGCTTATTTGTATAAATAAATGATGTGTAGAAGAGAGAAGTGGTGTTGCATTAACAGTCTAGTTTGTTTTGGGGAAAAGAAATTTTTGATCAAAAGACTTCCATTTTAAGTGTTACAAGAAGAGGAAAAGAAAATAAACAAGAAAGAGTAGATTGGAAGCGTATTCTCCACCTTGATGTGGATGAGATCTTGGAAATACTACCATACAATATTTATTTCTGTAATCAGTTCATCTAAAGATTACACGCTACATGGGACAAGTAAATGGAATAGTATCTATTTTGAAAGTCCCCCAAAATTGTTTTGCTTATTTTTTATTTGTCAATGTAAGTTTTAAGGGAAGGAATACACATTTCTATCAAGACGTTACCTGATTCCCAGGTTTTGAGCTTCTTTTTAAAGAAGTAGAATAGGGGGCTTTAAATGTGAGTATCTGAATTGTGGTCAATAAAGCTGTTCCTTGACATTATTATCTGAACCACAAATAGGTATCCTGCTATGAAGATTCTCATTTTCCTTTTGCCCTCTCTTACCTTTAATTTTTTCCTCCTAAATACGGTAGGATCTTTTTGAAAAGTATTAATGCACAAATATGAAACAGCTTAATCTTGTGTAAAGAATTTCCAAACTGGCTCATCTATTAAATGTATGACATGTAACGTTTAGGTAACTCCATTTACTCAGTTACTTTTTCTATTTTATAAAACAAACCTATTACAGAATTGTCTGTGAAAATCAGCTACCTAAACAAAGATTTCAGGCAGTGATTCGGGAATTGGAGAACACAAACCATCTTATTATTTGTTTTTCAAATTTTGACTGTATCTAAAAACACTCAAAGTATACTTTCAATTTAAAAGAATTAAAATTTATATTGATTGAGAAGTGTATAATCAGATGGGAAAACTAAAACTGTTCCTAGAGTGTATAATAACAATTTGGATATTTGTCATTTTGAAACAATCCTTGGTTCTATTTGGATTACTCCGCTTTATACCGTTTCAATGCCAAATACAATATCTGGTACAAAGTAAGAACTCAAAAGTAAAGAACTGTTCATTTTAATTGGCTTTTTAAATTATTATTTTATTTAATATTACTTAAAAAAAAGAACTACAGAAACCATCTTTTTGTTCACATGCTTATTTTACAATAATAAATTATATTCTCCAAAAGAAGATGTCGTCTGTATTCACATAATTGGTAAACACTTTCTTTGCTAACACAGTCTTTGTAAAATGAACAGGAAGAACTGCCAGGGTTCAGAAAATATAAGCGCTCAGGCCGGGCGCAGTGGCTCACGCCTGTAATCCCAGCACTTTGGGAGGCCGAGGCGGGTGGATCACGAGGTCGAGAGATCGAGACCATCCTGGTCAACATGATGAAACCCCGTCTCTACTAAAAATACAAAAAATTAGCTGGGCACGGTGGCATGTGCCTGTAATCCCAGCTACTCAGGAGGCTGAGGCAGGAGAATTGCCTGAACCCAGGAGGCGGAGGTTGCGGTGAGCCGAGATCGCACCATTGCACTCCAGCCTGGTAACAAGAGTGAAACTCCGTCTCAAACAAAAAAAAAAAAAAAAAAGAAGGAAAATATAAGTGCTCAAGAGTTTTTCAGATGATCTCCGATCAGTAGAAAGTTCTACATTCCAGCTTTCTGTAAAGTCTTTTTACTAAAGAGTTTATAATCGTGCGTCTACTTCTTAAGAAAAATATACTTACTTCAAGGAAGATTTTTGTCCTCAGAAAACCTAACTTACAAGTACAGCAGGAGCTTTATTTTCCCATTTGTGTATTTTGGACAGCTGAACACTGATCATGAATGAGTATGGGAGAAACTACAAAACTTCAAAATATTTGAAGAAACAAATAGGAATCTCAGAGAGGAAAGTAAGGAACCAGAAAACCATGAAAGAACACTAAATGGAAAAGAATGAGCAAATCTTATTCACCTATCGCTAAATCTAAAAAAACGTCAAAATACATGAAGACAGCAAATGCTTTAGAACAACTGTTGAATGGATTGTCCTCCTTACTTGGCAAATAATCATGCTTGCCTCTCTCTATCCAAGTGTTTGTTTTTGTACTTGACCTTAATTTCAAGTTAGTTTTGAAGTCTCTACAGTAATCTTCTTAATCTGTCTCTACTTCTTCAGAAAATAAATTAGTTGTTGATGAATCACTCCTTAAGACCTTGCCACTTATGATAAGTTTTATTGCCTTCCGAAACCAGGGGTAAAAGAAAGCATATATCAAAGGATTCATAGCTGAATTATAATACACACACCACGCTAAAATCTCATAAACATAAGGAGGAGTTACAAAATTCATATAAGCATCAATCACTGCATCAATGATGTCTGGTAGCCAAGAGATGAGAAATGCTGCCATAGCAATACCCAAGGTTTCGGCAGCCTTTCTCTCTCTTTTTGCTACTCTTTCCTTGTAACTCTCTGAGGAGGACTGAGCTTGGCTGGCTGTACTTTCTATCTTCCTAGCCTGATGCTTATAATATCTTACTGCATATAAACACCATAGCGACAGTGAGGATAAAGAATAGAAGAAAACAATGTAGGACCCAGTTTTGATTCAGTGGAGCCTGACAGCCTCCTACACAGGTGAGAGCAACTACTAATTCCTCAATCCCTTCTTCGTTGGCCTCGTGTAAAAGATCCAAAAGCTGTATGTGACAGAAAAGAACCAGGAAAGAATAATGCATATTCCTGAAACTGACACAGTAAACTTGGTTGGGTAGGTCAGAGGATCAGTAACAGCAATGTATCTATCCACAGAGATGCAGCATAAATGAAATAAAGAAGCAAAACAGAAGGATGTATCAAAACATGTGTGGAATTTACAGTAACTCTCCCCAAAGTACCAACAGCTACTCCACAGATCTCACTGTGCTGAAAGGCATTACTGTGACTCCCACCAAGAAATCAGCATAGGCCAGCGATGCGATCAGAAAGTTGGTAGGTGTGTGCAGTTGTCTGAAGTGAAGGATAGCAATCATGACCAGCAAGTTTCCAAACACTGCCAGCACAGCCCCAAAACCAAGCACAGCGTAGAGGATAGCTCGAGGACCAGGCGAATAAGGAGTTTTAATGCAGGATCCATCTACATTCTCGTAACACAGTTCCACAGCCTCAGCTTGGGAGAAATTGGTCACCATTGCTTTCTTGCTTGAACTATTTTAAAGTTCTCAAATTCCTGCCTTCGAAATATTTTTAAAAAGGAGGCAATTTCAAAGTCTTCTAGAAGGGGAAAAAAATATCCAGTTAATACAATAAAAGTTTGTGATTCTTCTACCATGGTATTTCCATATTAACTATAACCTCTTGATCTTTCCAAAAAGTGTTTCCACTTTCACATTTTAATATAGAGTGGAAATGTGTTGCAGAAAGCCACATATATTAAAAATATAGTCAAATATATTCCGAAATAAGTGGCTGGCAGTACACTTAGTCCAATGAGATATAGATATAATTTGCTAATCATTAAAAAAATCCTTTTTGGCTGGGCGCGGTGGCTCACGCCTGTAATCCCAGCACTTTGGGAGGCCGAGGCGGGTGAATCACGAGGTCAAGAGATCGAGACCATCGTGGTCAACATGGTGAGACCATCCTGGTCAACATGGTGAAACCCCGTCTCTACTAAAAATACAAAAAATTAGCTGGGCATGGTGGCGCACTCCTGTAATCCCAGCTACTCAGGAGGCTGCAGCAGGAGAATTGCCTGAACCCAGGAGGTGGAGGTTGCAGTGAGCCGAGATCGCGCCATTGCACTCCGGCCTGGGTAACAAGAGCGAAACTCCGTCTCAAAAAAAAAAAAAAATCCTTTTTTTTGTGTTACTTTACCTTCTTAAAACCTCATCTGTAACCACACAGTGGAGAAGTAATTAGACTATCAAAGGCTGAGCTTTATTTATCACATCATCTCCCCTGAGCAGCACTTTAGCAGTAATGACAAACTATGCTTCATTTCTTCATGACGGAAGAGGTGAATTACATCTCCTTCAAGCTGTGCCCTCAAAATCCCTGTGGTATAGACTGTGAAAACTGAGGGAAAGCTTCCTCATAATAACTTTAAACTTATTTTAGGAATACATTTCTTCTACTAGTTATGTTTTCCGAATTTGTGAGTTTTTTCCTTTTTATATTCTTTCATGATTCAGACAGCTTGAGGTGATTTAGAGAACAAATCTTATTGAATTGATATTGTCAGTGTGAAAGTATTTTCCAGGCTAATAGGCAGTGTTTGGTGTTTAAATTATTAAGAATTTATCGAAATAAACAATAACTCCCCTAACATCTCACCTTCCCATCCTTAGAAAAACAGTGTAGTTTTAAACCTATCGCAGAAGAATAGACAAAAACTGGGGTGGAGAGGAGGGCTGTTTTTAGATAGGCCATATCCTTGAAGGATAGATTCATGCTAAGTCATCCAAGGTGCAAAAAGAGACCAAGTTGGCTTCTCTAGGTGTATGAGTTTGTTCTTATACTAGGTACATGGTCTTAAGAAAGTTTAGAGTTCACCTAACAACAGTGAATAGTTTTACTTCATTTAACCATGTATATAAACACCATGATTAGCTTTGGGTCTAGTAAGTGCAACCTTGCATCTGAATCTTAATCTATGGGGTAGCTGGGATTACTATCATGGTACCCACACAACTTTGCTTCTAATCAAGAGAAGCCCTTTATGTTGAAAAAATGGACAAGTAGGACGATGCTTTGGGATTTGTACTCATATGCTCAAAAGCCCAGAAGCAGCTCACCTTATAAAATGGTGGAATGGTCTACTGAAGATTTCAATATAGCGTTGGTTGAAAACACCACTTTGGAGGGTAAGGTGTCATCCTAGGGAAGTGGTCTATGCTCTTAACCAGCTGGCAACCCACAATGCTTCATAATCCATTGTCACATCACAAGTCTTAGAGTCAAGGATAGAAATGTAGTTGGTATTTCCAAAGTACCCACTTGAAAAAATTTTCTTCCTGTTATAATAACTGTGATTTCTGCTGGTTTAGAGAGTTATCAACCAATGAAGAAATGCTTCCACAATAATATCAATGGATTTGTGCAATAATTCCATTGAATTGAAAGCTGAGATGCCATGTATTTATTTGAACACTTAATGTTGTGCAAATTAGCACAAAAGTGTATTCGATTATTTGTGTTAGAACATTTGTTGCTGTTGCAATAATCCTGGGTTGCTGCTGTGCAGTGAATACAAAAAGCTATATAACTGGAACTCATGATGTTAGAGGAATTATGTAATAGTGCAATAAAGGTGGGATTTCTAACGGCTCAGTTTTCTTAGAAATAAAGCACTCCCACTGAATAGAGAAACCTGAGGTACCAGCTGCAGGAAGATGGCCTAGGTAGTGAGAAGGAAAAGACAAATTCTAAGCCCATTACCAATCATAGAAAAGGGGTTTATTTAACATAATTTTTAAATGTTCCTAATTTTTGAATTTGTATAGGATAATTACTTTAATAACTTTATCATTTTTAAAATCTCCCTTTATTTCACTACTTTCTATAGAGTGTATTACAGGTTGACTATACCTTATTTGAAATTCCTGGGTCAGAAGTGTTTCAGATTTTGGGTTTGTTTGTTTGTTTATTTGTTGGATTTTGGAGTATTTACATTGTACTTACGTATTAAGCATCCCAAATCCGAAAATCCAAAATCTCAAATACTCCAATGAGCATTTCCTTGAAGTGTCATGGTAATGCTGAAAAAGTTTCAGATTTGAAATTCTGTGTTTCAAATTTTCAGATTTCAGATGCTCAACCTGTAGTGGTATGTAACAGTATAATTTAGTCTATTAGTTATTGATTATTGAGAGAGGATTTTAAAGAACTAGGGTAGGAACATACAGCAACCAGAAGTCATGAACTTGAAGCTGAAGCAATAACTGGAAGGACTGAGTTGCCACTTGGGTAAGAGATGAGTGTGTTTGGGGTTATATATGAAATTATTTCATAAAGAGAAAAAGAAGAACGTTTAGATGTGAGTAGAGGAAGGTAAAGTATGTGGATTGTAGGGGACATGTATTAATTTGATTGCCCAATATTCAAATATTCTTCCTATTGATAAGGAATATCAAGAGAGGGGAAATCAGAGCCCAGGGTATGCTGTTGGCCCTCTCCATGCACCATGCCTCTCCAGTGTCTACGAAATGCATGCATGTACATGGGTCCATGAAAATGCCATATATGCAAAGCAATACCCAGATGCCAAAGGAGCAAAGAAATCAGAGAAATTCAGTTTGTCAATAACGGATATTTTTTGGGGGGAATTTATAGACAGAAGCATTGTCTTGGGCAGTTGCAAGACAGATAGATTTCCACACTGCAACCCCCCTAGATCCAGTGCATCTTTCTTGGGGAAAAAGTATATGTGGTCTGGAAGGAATGTTCAAGTGGCTGTGAGCATCACCTCTATGATTTCTGAAGTAGCACTGCGGATTTCTTTAGAGGAAATTTAACAACGAACAGGCATTTCTAGACATCAACAAGATATTTTGGTGGTATTCCCAGACTTGGGTTTAGTCAGCAGATTAGCATTTAAAGTAGAGTCATTCTTGTCTCCACAGCCACTCGGAAACTGAAGATCTGACACAAGCAGAGTGGGAGTAGGAGATCCTTCCCAGCATCTGCAGTGATGCTGTTCCATGGGGATGAGGACAGGATTCTGCTAAGATTGCAAATTCCTATGGTGGCTTTCTGAGTAGACCATTCAGTGGTGGAATTTTCACCTGATCCCTCTCTGAGCTTGGTTCTTATGTCTTCCTATAAATTATGGGATCTTCCTGAAACCTATATAATAAATTAATTTTCCACCTAAAATAGTCTGAAAATGGATTTGATGTTTTGGACAAGAAAGAATAAAAATTCCAGGATGATTTCTTACATTCTGGAGTACATAAGCTGGTGGAGGAAAAAGCTTGGGTAGAGGGTTGAAGGGGAGATTTCCAGTCAGGATGTCTTGATATTGAGATGCTTTTGAACAATCAGATTGGGAATAGTTTAACAAACAAATGGATAGATCTCTGTAGAGCTGAAAAAACTAGAGAGATTTATTTGGGGACCATCATCCTATATGTCACAATTAATCACCCAGGGAACTAAGAGTTAAGGGAATGGTTGTTCACTATAAATCTACTATGTGTCAGTTATCTACCAAATATTATTGTAAAGTAATGAAATTGCTTTTCTCATGTCACATGGAAGTCAAATAATTACAATCCTGCATTATGGCCTGAACAAAATTGTTTAAAATGCTGGATTTTATTTTATGACTCATGGAACAAGTTAGATACAATGCATTAGTCTATTCTCATGCTGCTAAAAAGACATACCTAAGACTGGTTAATTTATAAAGGAAAGGAGTTTAATGGACTCACACTTCCACATAGCGGCGGAGACCTCACAATCATGGTGGAAGATGAAGGAAAAGCAAAAGCATGTCTTACATGGCAGCAGGCAAGAGAGAGTGTGTGCAGAGGAACTTCTCTTTATAAAACCCAAACTGTCAAGAGAACAGCACAGGAAATCCCACCCTCCAGGATTCAATTAACTCCCACTACGTCCCTCCCATGACACATGGGAATTATGGGAGCTACAATTCAAGATAAGATTTGGGTGGGAACACAACCAAACCATATCACATAGTAATGGTTCTGAAATTTCTATTACTAGATTATTTCTTGACCAAAATCTAATTAATATTGTTAATCACAGAGTTTAAATGATATAATAGTTTTTTCAACAGTTTAAGCAAATTTCCACTTCTTAATCAGTATCAGAAGAAATCTTTAGTCATGATAGTTTTCTTAACTTTTTTAAAACAATATTTTCAAATACTATTTTTGAGGAAAGTTTATTCATAATTTACTTAACAATATTACAAATTATAATGATTGAAAATAAGATTTTTAAAGTAGCAGGTATAAAAATATAAAGGGGGGAGTGATATATTACTCATTATTTCTTGGCATTTCTTTATTGCCAAACTATTTTTTTCTTTATATATATATATATATATATATATATACATATTATTGCACTTTAGGTTCTGGGGTACATGTGCAGAACATGCAGGATTGTTATATAGGTATATACATGGTAATGTGATTTGCTGCCTCCATCCCCCCGTTACCTA